ACCGGGGTCTTGTATCTTTTATATCATGCACTTGATGCATTATAAAGATTTGGAGCTGTGCACACTGATACTTTTCATTATCTAGTGACATTTTCAGCCTTCACAGAACTAAATTATAGTTTCACCTCCTTCAAGTAATCTCACAATTTGTTCAAGGGGCATGTCTTTGAGGTATTGTTCCAAAAGTCTGAAAATGTGATATTAAATTGTTTTAAACCTAAATGTTGGACCTGTCTGTCTCCACTGCCTCTTAAGACAATTCAATCCTCATGATGCCTCCGGCTGCGGATCTCATTGTTTCGACTTTAATAGGCTCTGTAACAAAGTTAAGAAATGAATCGCTTGAACTTTCTGAAAGCTTCTTGCAGTACCCTTTGCAGAGAATGAATCATGGTCACGATATGAAGCGTAAATGTAATTTTGCAAAGGAAATAGGGAGGGAGAGACAAGCAGTTTTTTCTTTTTTTACTCAGCTTTAATTGCAGTGCATGTTATTGTCTGCGGGAGTATCACAGACATTTTTACCATACTGTGGATGTCATTATAATTAAACTACACTCGTTCTAACCCTCACTCTTAGTACTTGTGGCTTCTACAATAATTTTAACACAAAGGAACCAAACCAAGAAAGGGGGAGAAATGTTTTTCCCAAACGCAAACACCTTTTGTGATATGTCAATATGGCAATATGGCAATAGTGAAGTGAAGGTATTTCACTTAACATCAAAACCATCTTCACCACTTGTAGGCTACATGTTAATTTCAATGTACTAGTTATGGAAAATACTGTTCAAACTCAATTGTGTGGCTATACAAATAATTGTTATGATTCTGCTAAATGTTTTATAATGTTTGATGTGACTTGTTTACTTTACTGCTAACACCAGTGTGTTCTTTTGTCCCTTAGAGGTATTGTAACCATTGCAAAAATGCTAAGCTACGCTAACCATAAGGATTAACCCTATGGGGAAGAAACGTATTAGGATATAAAAGTCAAGATATCCTAATGGGTTATCATATCATGTCACTCTTTTTTACTCCAACACCACTTTAAGTTGTTACAGTTGCTTAACCATAATAAAATATCAAAGTTGGGTGCAGAAAACCGTTAAGCAACCATTTCTAACTGTGGCAGCGGGGTGTGGTTTGGGCGCTGGCTGCTGGAGTGAAGGGAGTGGCTCGGCCGGAGGCCAGACAGCTGATCGGAATCAGGTAATCAGTGCAGGAAGAAAAGCATGTCGTAACCTGGTTCTGTTCTGTTATGCAGTAGGCGGGATCCTGGAAGGTCGCCAAAGGACCTGTGAAGTTTCCCACCCGGGCAACGTTTGAGACCCGCGCATATTATTGTTTGGAGTTAATAAACGCCTGTGTTTCACCAACCTGCTCTTTCCGTCCTGATTTGAACCCTTTGTGAGCGGAGAGGCTCACAGTGGCGCCCGAATAGGGACCTGATGTCGGAAGGAGAAACCCCGCTGGGTCAGGCCCTCCAACGTCTCGCTCACATGCAGGAGACCACCACAGCATTACAGCGACAGCAGAGCGAGGCTCTGCTCGGGATCACCTCGAGCCAGCGCGAGGACCGGGCTCTCCTACGGGAGCTGCTGCAGCGTCCGGCCGCTCGGGAGGGCGATCCCGCTACCAACCCGGCCCGCCCGCCTTCAATTGCCCTCCAGAAATTGACGGCAGAGGATGATCCGGAGGCATACCTGGACATATTTGAGGGCACAGCGGCGGCGTGCGGGTGGCCGGAGGAGGAGTGGGCAGCGCGGCTATTGCCTCTGCTATCCGGGAGTGCGCAGCTAGCCGCCCACAGCGGGCGCAGTACGCAGGGGCTTCGCCGTCTTGGACGGGCCTGTGGCCCGGCCGACTCACAGCGGAGACGCAACGCCGGGTCCGGCAGGTCCTACGGAAGGAGTCTAACGGCGCATGTGTACGGCTCCTCCNGAGTCTGATCTACAACCGGCTGCTTGATGTAAAAAATGTGTGCCGTTACCATGGACACATGGGCGGCTGCCTCCATCCTCACATCTATAAATTGCTTTGTGATCAGATTGATCAAAGGAGGGCCGAATATGCAAACGCATTTACTCCCGAGAAGACACACACACACACACACACACACACACACACACACACACACACACACACACTATAAAACACTATTATTTCATTACAGATGTACTTTTTTTGATTGATTGATTGATTGATTGATTAGTCTTTAAACTGTCAGAATATTTTGTCAAATTGTCGAAAAATGTCAATCCCAATTCCTCAAATTCCATCATATTTGAGAGGCTAAAAGGAGAATTTTTTGACATTGTTTCATGAGATTTATTGGGAGTATTTGTCTGTATATTGACTAATAGATTGTTCAGTCTTTGCAGATCTTGATCATAATTAATGAACTTGCTAAGGTGCTACATGTTCACACCTATGGTTCACACATACCATAGGTAGATCAATAGGAGAAACACAGACTTAAGAAACCTCAAATGTATCCCTCAAAAAGCTTCAGCACACAGACAGAAACCGAGGGGACAGTTAGAGGTGAGCCTCAGAAAGTGTCATTGTGTTCCCTCTCTGTTGTGATATAATATAAAAACAATGATTCAACAGATCAAATCTAATCCTTCCTCTCTGTGGAAAGCATCTGGGAGGACAGCAATGGCGTGATACTTACTGCTTCATGAGCAACACATCCGGTTTAAGATGTAGCCTACTGTGTGTAACCACCAACATACATGTTAACATTATGCTCTATAATCCCACATCAACTCTGTACTGGCCTTCTGTAACCCTGCGTGAAACAGGATGTCAGCCTGTGTGTTTACCAGCCTGCCTGCGTGGAAATAAACACACAAGAGGCCAAAGCTGTGCAATGAAAATCTATTTGTGGAAGCACCGGCTACTAATATTGCCATTATAGTATAGAGGATGATTTTGTATTCACTGACAGCCGCACAATAACAACTATTGCGTCATGATATCTGCTGATGCTCAGTGATGCTGCTGCAGGATACCTTTAATTCACACAATAAAAACACGCCATATGTAAGAGTAAAGACAGATACATCGACATTTTTATATCATGCAATGGCTGTAAACATGTCTTATTCTGCTCCTGCTGCGAGCTGCTGTTCTGTCTTTGTGTGATAAACGCCCTCGACAAACCGAGACATGATGACATGACAAATGAGAAACACACATAAATATAAATATATCAAACCGTTTGGAGAAATGCGAAGGTTTCTTGTCATATTGATGCGCATCCTGGTCGCTGCTCCACGATGTCTGCAGTCAGGACTCGCCCTGACTCCCTCTGACACATCCAGGCGCAAAACCTCCGCAGATCCCCCACCCTCCACTGGGGGGCGCTGTCTGTCTGCAGGGAGACACTGAGGGGAAAGCAGATTCATTTATGTGCCACATTTTACAATATGGTCACCAAGGGCCACATACAGAAAGATATACGAAGGTCTGGGCCACTCGCTAGAGGTGAGGTATATTGCCTCATAAGTTCAGTTATAAGTTAGCAAAAACAATCAAATGTAGGTAAATTATGCTCGATCCTTGAAAATGCCTACATCACAGTTCTCCATAGGGTTTCATTTATTGTGTTACAAAAAGTGTTCAGCTCATTCCTTAAAACAGAAACCTCATATTGCTTATTCTATGGAGAAATAGGAAGGGTATATTTCACGCTCGTTATGTAAATAAGTTGTTTTTGTTTTTTTTATCAACTAAGATATGTTAGAAAATGTTTCCCACTTGCATTTACTGAATGTATTTGAAGAGGTGGCTTATTAACACGTGAATACTACTGTGTCATATATTTTTACATATATATTTAAGAAGTACAATATAAGACAAGTACAAGTTTCATTTACGGGCCATACTCCATTGCAAAAGAGCAAAAAATAAATAAATACAAATTAAAAAAAGTTTAAAAAGGCAGATCAAATACAATTCAACAATTATTAGACATTAAGTTGTGCATACCATGAACGGAACAAATTTAAATGAAATGAAATAAAAGTTACAGTGTTTAAGTGAAATTTAATTTAAGGCAGCAGCAAACAGAAAACTGTAGCAATTGAAAACCTATATTGGTGCCTTAAATAAGGTGTAGGTATTTGTTCAGCAAAATAACATTTACGTCAAGACAGTAAAGACTGTGAACACAGGGTAGCTATGCCAAGGATACTCAATTATTTTTGACTGCATCAGCCTTTTATTCCAAAATAAGCACATTTTGTATTTTAACATGTTGTTGTTTGTCAGAAATATATATTTTGAGATATTGGGTGAGGTTTTTCTTGCCAAAGGGAGGGTCAGAAAATAGTTAGAGATAGTTAAAAAGAAAATGTTTTAAATAAAATGAATCTTTCTGTATGTAAAGGCATCATTTTGAACGAAGTCAACGTAGAATAAATCAAAAATAACTATGGAAATGGGATAACATATTTAAAAAATAAATAACAGGCCATATGCCTAACAGTCATGTCAAATATTGTTCAAGTCCACATTGTTATGTCAATTGCAAGATCAGTTATCATTTAGATTTTAAAATCATATCACATTTCGGAAACTAAATCAAAATGTTGAGATGTTAATTCAACATTTCAAAATGCATCTCGTAATTTTCGACTTGCAACCAAACTCTTAGCCAAACTCCAGAAATACGTTTTTATTATTTCACATTTTAGTCATTTGCTCTGTGATGGTGTAGGCTGTAATTCCTAAAAGACACAAAAATCAGAGAAACTGTTAGTGACTGTTACAAGTGAAAGTGGAAACTCGAGTCGGTCAGGAAACTAGTGCACCGAAACTTCATTGTTGGCCCTGAAGGTCCCGCAGAAACACCTTGCCCCACCCTAATTACCCGCTTCAGCTGTCAGCCAATCAGAGCAGGGCTCGGGACCGCGCCCTGCTGTGTCGGAACTCGTGGACGCGCGACAGGTAAACCACAGGTGTGTTGTCCTGCTCCAGTTTGAAGGAGACTCACCCCGACCTCACAACCTTAAAGACTGCAGAGGAGAGAATTCAGACTTTACTGTTGAAAATGGAGGAAATTACAAAAAAATAGCAACTTTTAGAGGAATTTGTCTCACCTCATTTGCTTGTTCCTCCTTTTATGGATTCGTTGATATTCACATCCATTTGGATTACTGTTTAGGGGCTGAGGTTTTTTTGTTGCACAATGGATATAAACATTTCCAGACGGACAGGAGTTTTACTCTTTATTTTCACGTTTTTAAGTCTTCTCCAGGCTCTGGTGGAGAAATCCCCTCAAAACCAACCGGCGGTGTCACGATCCTGCCCCCGGTGAAACCGGATAATGGCCCCCAGGCCTTTCCAGACGCGGAAAAAGCAAATTTACCGGTGTTTACCATGGATTACGCCAGAATACAGATTCCCTTTGAGATCACTCTCTGGGTGCTGCTGGCTTCATTCGCAAAGATTGGTGAGTAGCTCAAATGTGACCATGTGCAATATAAACACTTGTTTGCAATTGTACTGTGCAATAGTCACTTTTATGTAAAAGCATACATTTTGCTCTCAATACTTTGATATGTTATTTGTGTCACTTCGTTTTTTTAAATTGCTGCCATGGTTTGACTTGTTTGTCTTTATTTTTTAATTAATTACTAATGTTTGCTTTTCTTCTTTTTTATTACTGCTTGCCTTTTCTACCTTCTATTCCACTTTGCCTGCACACTGTAAATATTGCCTAATAATGCTGTGGGACTAATAAAGGGATTCTGATTTTGATAACATAATATAGGGCATCATTTTACCAGGAATATATGTGATGTTTTCATGTAGCAGAGTGCCCTCTTTCTGGTTTTTAAACTTAATTGACATCCCATTTCATTTCAGGTTTCCATGTGTACCACAAGATCACCATCTGGGTGCCAGAGTCGTGTCTTCTCATCAGCATTGGTCTGATCGTGGGGGGCATCATGTACTCGGTCCATGAGGAGCCCCCTGCTGTGCTCACCAGCAACGCCTTCTTCCTCTACATGCTGCCCCCAATTGTCCTGGACTCCGGCTACTTCATGCCCAGCAGGCCTTTCTTTGAGAACATCGGCACGGTCCGTTTAAAAACAGCCACATTTTCCTAAATCACACTCCTAAAATATTCTCCTTTTTGAGCACTTGTTTTTGATTTGTCGTGTCTGTTTGCAGGTGCTGTGGTTTGCGGTGGTGGGGACTCTGTGGAACAGCATTGGCATCGGCATGTCTCTGTTTGCCATTTGTCAGATCGAGGCGTTTGGTGTGCAGGACATCAATCTCCAGGAGAACCTTCTGTTCGCCACCATCATCTCGGCCGTGGACCCTGTGGCCGTGCTCAGTGTGTTTGAGGACATTTCAGTGAACGAGCAGCTCTACATCGTGGTGTTCGGAGAATGCCTCTTCAACGATGCTGTCACTGTGGTGAGTGGGCCGAGGCACAGAGTCCTAAAGTCCTTTGTGGTGCCCTTTAATCTAAGCTGAGCCTTGCTGCAGCACGTTGGCCTGTTCTGGGCTAACGCTTGTTATGAAAACACCTATTTTAATGAGCAGGGTGTCACTAGAAACTGTTCCTAATTTCTTAATGGCACCTCCCAATAGGACTCATACATATCAAAAGATAAAATAATTGCTGTAATGACGGATACATTCTCCACCCTTTTGATATTTATTTAATCTTTTGCCAATTTTCATGCAAAAATTGGAGAAAATGCGGTTTCAGTTTCTTAAATGTGCAGATTTCCTGCTTTAATCTTTTTTATAGCATATTACGCTGAATATCTTTAGGTTTTTACCTGACATACAAGATATTTAAAGACTTTCTTTGGACTCTTACAAGATCTCTTACATTTTTAGATACATAGATGGACCTAGAAGATAATTCTCAGATTAATCAATAATGAAAATAATCTTTAGCTGCAGCCTAAATGCAAAAAGTAGTGTGGGAACAAGGCAGAATCACACACATAGAGTTAATCATGGACACCATTGTAACCCCACCTACCATTTTAAACCAGTTTGGACCTTTGATTTCAAAACGGGTATTATAAGAAAAGGTAGATCCAGTTTCTTTTTGTCTGGAACTTTTCTTATAATTTCTCTAAAGGCTCAGCTCAGGTTTCCTCAGAGACAGTGCGATGACTTCTTTCTCTTTTTCTAGGTCAGTATGACAACATAAAGTGTGTCACTGCCAAAAATGCTGAACAGATAAATACCTGAACAATTTAAGTGAAATAATGTTAGAGACAGATGAGTCTGCAGACCTGCGCTGCGTTTCCTTTGAAGCTAGTTTGCTTAGATGCTGCCAAACCAGTTCCTGTGGCCACTGTTGCTTTTGGCTGTTTGGGAGGTGTTTACACATCCTCTGCAACTTGACTGAACTGCATCATGCTCAAATGTCCCCCCTCACCCTGTTCTGATTGTGTTCAAACACACGTACAATAACCTGCTCTTAGCTTTGTCGTGGCGACCCTTTTGTTTAGTACACAGTAGCTGATTGACACAGGGAAGAAAAACATTTACCCAGGCCTTTCTGCACAGAGAGCTTTGTGTTGCAGATTATGATCAATCAAGCAAGATGTAATGTTTGCTGAAAGTAGACATACTTCATATCAGCCCTGCACTCATTAGTTAAGGTTGTGACAGATTTAAGCGTGGGAAGAACTCTCATAATTTTAAGTAGGATCCTTTTATTCTAACGTGGGATCCCCTGACTCCGCCCATGACTCAGAGTTTCAACTCAGGTTGTACGTCCGTCCAATTCTTGTGAATGCTATATATAATGCCAGTGGGGAATTAACTTTAAGGTTATTTATTTGTACATGTAGGTTGGTTTCATTTGCAGTTGAAAGACAAGGTATCCATAGTGACACACGTTTAGAACAAAACACAACATGCAACTCTTTAAAAAAAAGAAGTTTGTTACATAAGTCCACTTGGACTCAAAGATGAAGTGATATTTTTTTCTTTTTTAAGAGGTCAAAGTCACAGAGACACGCTAAACATGTTTTTGTCCATAAACATGTTTATGATAATTATTTAATTGTACGCATATGTCTAACATGATGAAGTGATGATATTTGGGACAGACGTGACGATCAATGAATTTGACTGTTAAGCGAATCATTCAACCGCAAGGCAGTCCTTTTAGTTTATCTCTAATTTATGACAAATGTGCCTGAATGAGTGCAGACTGGCTGGGTAATTCAAAAAGTATTGTTGAAAGAAATACTATAATATGGAATATCACTTGCTCTATACCTTTTCAAATGATCCATATTCTTCATAGCCGTTTGCTAGTCAACATGAAGCTGTAAATGAGATGCCACAACTGTGAGTGATTGTCTCGAATCAACTCTAATGGTGGCATACAGCAAGAGAGCAGATTTTAAAAGCCACATGACCATAACACAAAGATTGCTCCTTTATCTGAGTCATTCTGCGCCCTTTGTGAAATTAGATTATCAAATTGCAAACAGTGCAGAGTCAATATTTCAGTAAATCACTGTTATCAGCAAATGTGTCACTACAGGCCGCAGCGCCTGACCCCACCCATGACCTCACATAGAGATTGATTGGCTGTTTCTGCACAAATGAATACAAAGCTGTGTGTGTGCATGGTTGTTTTAACATGTGTATTTTCAGGTGTTGTACAACATGTTCAACTTCGTGGCGGATATGCCGGTGGTGGAACCGGTGGATGTTTTCCTCGGCGTGGCGCGGTTCCTTGTGGTGGGGTTGGGCGGGATAGGCTTCGGCGTTTTGTTCGGCTTCGTTGCCGCCTTCACCACAAGATTCACCTCTAGAGTGAAAGAAATCGAGCCGCTCTTCATCTTCATGTACAGCTACCTGGCTTACCTGGTGGCCGAGCTCTTCGCCATCTCATCCATCATGGCGTGAGTAGAACGCATCTTCACATTAAAGCATTCAACAAATGAAGAACACATCAAAAACACAGCTGTTGTTTGTGTCTTTCTGCAGCATTGTGACCTGTTCTCTCACCATGAAGTACTACGTGGAGGAAAATGTTTCCCAGCGTTCCTGCACGACGATCCGACACGTGATCAAGATGTTGGGCTCAATCTCAGAGACCCTCATCTTCTTCTTCCTCGGGGTCGTCACCATTACAACGGAGCACGAGTGGAACTGGGGCTACATCCTGTTCACGCTGCTGTTTGCCTTCGTATGGAGAGGTCTCGGTAAGGAGGGGAGGGGTCTGTGTTTTGTTTGTCTCAGCTCCTGTCCGTGCCCTGTGGAGGTTTCAACTGGTGCTATGAAGCATCGTGCCCGTTTAGTTTGTGTCATGGGAACACAAATCGATGGCAGTAATGTGCCAACAAAAGCTAGGAAAACAAGACTTCTTACCAGATTTTTATATTTTAGAAAGATTTGTCTTTGCAAATGTTTGGCAGAAAAATCAATTGAACTACTTTGTCAAAACTTCAGTACACTTAATGCATTTTGGAGAAGAACACTAAATGTATACATAGCTTTTGTTTCCTAACCAAAACTGCACCTATATCTTTATGCTCAAATAATTAAATTTTAAGGACAAACTTAACCCAAACTTAAAGTGGACCTATTATGCTATATTGGAAACATATACTGTAGGGCCATACCTATACACAACATGTCTGTGAAGTGTTTTGCTTAAAACACCAAACAGTTCACCCATTGTAGCCATGCCTATACTGCTCATACCCCTCTTTTGAAGCCCTGTTAGAGAAACGCGGATTTTGGGTCCTTAGCTTGAAAAAAAAAAAAAGAGGAGGCGGAGCTAATGCCTGATCAGAATTCTACCGGAGATAAAGTTAAATTCTGCTGTGATAAAACGCCATCCTGTTTAAACCACATCAAGGATTATTTCTGAAACAGTATGGAGCTCAAATGCTTTTTCTCTTGTGGGTTTATCACAAGGTGAGTTCCTTTTTTTATTTCCTGCTTTTTAAACACATGTGCTCTTCAGTGCAGGTTAGCTCTGAGTGTTAGCGAGGCTTGCTAATGTAAACAAAGACGAGACTACGTCCAAAACACGTCAGGCATTGTTTCTGATAGCAACTTTCTGTGGGTCCGCTGCCGATTTTGACGTTAGATCGGCAGCAAATCTGTATCCACTCGTTTTTAAAAGATTTGGGTGCGGAGGAAAAGAGAGAGGGTTTTATTTTCTGACGCTGCGTGAGTTCCCTGACGCACCGGGGACACATAGTTATGTATAAAAGACATCACAAAGTGTATTTTGCATGATAGGTCCCCTTTAAACCTTTTGCTTTACTTGCTGCAGTGATTTGTGAACCAGAGGGCAAAAAAGGTTTTCAGCCTGATTTGAAGTTGCTTTTTAAAGCTGCATTTAATAGATTTGTATGTAATATTGTTTCAAACTTGTGGATGCAGAACAAGCTGTAAACATTGAGCTGCTGCTGGAAGCAGTTCTGAGGCGATTGAACCAAAACTGTCAAATTGGGTACCTAGCAGATATGGCATTTATTCCTAACTGTTGTTCTTCCCTCTGTCCCCCCAGGTGTCTTGGTGCTGACTCAGATCATAAACCCCTTCCGCACCATCCCATTCAACATGAAGGATCAATTTGGTTTGGCCTACGGTGGCCTGCGAGGTGCCATTTCCTTCGCCTTGGCCTTCACTCTTCCTGATCACATCGGCCGAAAGCCGCTCTTCGTCACGGCCACCATCTGTATCATCCTCTTCACTGTCTTCCTTCAGGTGAGAGAGCATCTGTGTGCCTTTACTTAGAACTATTCACACAGTTGTTTGCTGTAGATCAAACACATAAGTCTAACTGATATTAGCGCAGTATATGTTAGTGTTTGTCTTAGTAAAAAAGGGTTTTCACTCATAGAGAAAAATACTGATGTGCTTTGTCATGATTGATTTTCTTTTAAGCTTAAAACAACAAAATATTTGAAGTTCACATCAGAATGTATTTGATTATTTAGTAAGTTGTGCAGGTTTTGGATGAAAGAATGTTGTTGGTCTCACATTTACATCAATTCATAGTTCTTTTCCACTTCCACACAAAACCAGAAGGGCTTTTACTCCTGCAATAAAGACTGTTGATTCTTTAGATTTTAATTGAAAGAATGGTCAAATTAATCGACAGTCAGTGGGGATTTGAAAAGTCTTCTTATGTTTTATTTCTGGGTTCCTCTGAATCTGTGATCTTTCTCTCTCTCCTCCGCAGGGCATCAGTATTCGACCTTTGATCGAGTTCATCAATGTCCGCAGAACAAACCGGAATCTTGACACCATCAACGCAGAGATTCACTCCAGGGTACGCCACACATTGTGAATGTTGTAAACAAGGTCAACTGTTTGTTTTTGGAGCATATGTTAATGGTTCTCACTTTGCTCTCAGATCATGGAGCACACCATGGCGGGAATAGAGGACCTCTGCGGACAGTGGAGCCACTTCTACTGGAAAGACAAGTAAGAACTCTCTTCCTGTCTATTCATCCTGCAAAATGCTTTGCACACTGATTCTTAACTTACTTACTTATAGATTAATATCCATTCAGCTGGAGGGAAAGTATCTGCAGTGAAACTGGAGGAGTGCTGGCAGTTTCAGTTTACCTTCTCTCTCTCTCTCCTTTGTTCTTTTGTTTGACAATGCTATTGTTCACTCCCTGAGACTGTGTGGGAATGTGGAGGGCTAACCACAATAAAGGTGGTTAGCTCTCCATCAGCTATAAAATATAATTATTTTCTTCCAAATGATCTGAAATGCTCTCTTTTTAATCTACTACCTTCACAGCTTTAAGGTTTTCATTAAAGTAATGCATTATCTCACTAAAGTATTGAAGTAGTTCTGTGTTTAGGTGCATAGTTACCCTCATTTAAAACTTTGAAATGGCACTTATATACATCTTCAAAACCGCCTCCTTAAAACTTGTAACAATTAAATAGAACAATATAAATGTACCATTTGTTTAGCCGCTTCCTCTCTGGGGTTTCTTCTCTTCCTTGAACCTTTGTTTACACATACCTCGCTTCTTCTTGTGAGACAGGTTCCTCAAGAATGAAGATTTTCAGTTTGATTTGTAATAAAATAACGGTAACACACAGAGGAGTCAAAGTGCACATTAGGACAGTGACCTATTAGTTCTGGTGTTTATCCAGCACATTGCAAGTAGTTAAATTACTTTAGCTTATAGGGTGTTTTAGGTGGTTTACATTCATATTGAATCAACTGTGTAGCATTTTAACACACAATCACTCCATTTGATGACAATTCTGCTGGAGCTATACAAAGACAAAGCATTACAGGGGAAGATACCAAGTGTTTACTGATACATTTTTGTCACAGATTTAAAACAAAACAAAATTGAATACTGATATATTACTTTCAAAAACTAGAATATACTCAATACACTTCTAATAGACACAAAACAAAGAAAAAAATCTACAATGTGTAAACGTGACAAGAAAGTTGCAATAAAATATATAAGATACACATGGTTTTTTTTATAATTAGATTTTGGGTCACGATGGAGAAAGTGGACTGATTTCGTAAAACCTCATACAGTAGGCCAGATTTAATTTTTACAAACGTATGATTTAACTGTGAAGTCCTGATCACTCCCTAATGTTTCGTACTTTTTACTGTTTTTATTTTGTCTTTCATTAAAAAAAGAAAAAGGCATTTCGGACAGACAAACTTAAGATGATCAATTACTGTGTCTTGGAAAAACACTTTATAATTGTTTGCAATAAAAAACACATTAAAACAAAAACAAATTAGATTTTGTAATACTAAAGTTATTGTTGGGGTAGCTAGTGCCTGTCACCAATACACTATGAAAAACACATCATGGAGGCGCCCAGGAATATGTTCCTTCATTGTTCCCTTTTTCTCCCTTCAGATTCTTGAGGTTCAACAATCTGGTCCTGCGGAGGATCCTGATCCGAGACAACCGGGCCGAGTCCAGCATCGTGTCGCTGTACAAGAAGCTGGAGCTGCAGAACGCCATGGAGATACTGGACACCATCACCGGGGACATCAGCGACGTGCCGTCCATCATCTCCATATAGTATGAAACCTTCATTTTATATCTCTGACCATCTCACCACCTCCTCATTGTCTGTTCAGATCAAAGGGATGGAGGAAGTCAATTGTATTTATTTGTCTTTCAGTGAGGAGAAGAAAAGCTCTGATAAACCCAAGAAGAAGCTCCAGGCTCCGGACCTGAAGAACATGCACGACATCCTGTCCAAGAACATGTACAGGATCAGGCAACGGGTGAGAAATATAAAATATTCATGCGGGATAACAGATGTGTGCACACACTTATACTATCATGCATCACAGTGGTGGAAAGTAACCAAGGATATTTTAATTTAGGCTTAACACTTCAGTACCATTTTGGATGTCTATTTTATACTCTTTACCTCAAGTTCTTATACAGAAAGAAAATGTGTTTTTTCTTCTCCACCACATTATTGCTCCATAAATCTGGCATGTACTGTACCTTGTTTTTTTACAAGGCATGAAAAGACAATGAATGTTTTTCAACATTTAACAAGCAAATTCTTGGTCAAATGTGGTCTCCTTTTCACATTAAAGTGTTTATATGTAATTATTAATGATCAGATCCACCAGACATTTTCCCCTCTAAACTCCTTACATGTTTAGGTCTCAATGTTTCAAAATCCAATATTTCACAAAAGAATTATGAGAAAAGTCCAAATCAATGAATACAAATTTGAGCAGGAGAACATCTTAATCTTTCCTCTCCCATTCAAACCGCTGATATTGATCATGTGACCCGTCACAGAAGACCCTAGCACCAGTCTTTGATCATTTGCATTTTGCTGTTGTTGTAAACCTTCAGCTGCTTACGGTAATCAGGTAAACAAAAACGTTACCCAGTTTGAAACATAGACTTTCTGTACTAACACAAAGCTATTTGGACTCTAAGCACTGAAACTCGCTGATGTTTTGCATAACCTGAAACTGGCCAGCAGTATTTTTCCATAAGTGACGTGACATTACCCACAGAGACGCTTTGATGTGGAGACAAATTGGGAGCATGTGCTTCTGATCCTGAGACGACCAATTGTCCCATTATCTTGTTAGCTCCTCTTTTAAAAATCCTTCACATATCCACAGTAATGTCTCTCACACAAACCCTGCGTCTCCTCCCGTCTGTGATGTTTGCCCTTTTAACATTTGACGTCCTCAGCTGTTTACCTTGCTGACTGGTGACGAAGCGGGACCTTTTAAAGGTTGTGTCATTTTAGAGTGGACTGTGCTTTTGTTCATTTTGTACACACTTGTACTTTACTACTTCCATTTCCTGCTACTTTATACTACCAAATATTCAACTTTGTACTCCACTACATCTACTTTAAAAGCTGCAGTTACTTTTAAATATCATATTAATAATTAGAAATATAATTAACAAATAATGTATCATGTATTATTTAAGTTAAAATATAACTGTATTGATCACTTGGTGAAATCCCGCAGCTACCAAGCAGTACATTTAGTAAAAAAAAAAAAACGTTTCCATTTCGAGCTGTAACATTAAAGTGATTAATGCATCAATAAGTAGATTTAGTCAAATAATATAATATAAATCATATTATTCAGAAAATTGACCGTTGATAATTAATACTTTTTAATTTAGGTTTATTTAGTTGTCAATGCTTTTGCTAAAGTCAAATGTACTTAATTAAAGAATTTCTAAACTGTGGTTTTCTTACTATTATGCAAGTTAAAGGAGGAAAATGCAAACAGAGCAGAATATCATATTGGTTCCTCTTCTATACCGTCTCATCAAGTTATCCTAGTAAAACAGAAAAGAGCGCGAGACATTTCTCTAAAGTACAATAACAACCAGTAGAGGGTTTTATAGGTTTTATGTCTCACTAATAGCTGCAGGGCAGACAGATCTGTGTTGACAGTGAGGTTTACGCTGCGTGGAGGAGGTGAGTGTCCAAACAGGGGCATTGAAAGTCCAAACAGGTGTGGCCAGTTTTGGTTGAGTAACCCGAGCTTTAAAAAATGCCGTCTCCTCTGAAAGCATTTTTACTGTCTATTTGTCTGCAGCTATTATCATCGCGGCCACCTGTTGGCTCTCTTGGGGATTTATTCCAGATTGACACAAAACCGTGGAACCTGTTAGTTTGATAGTCCTAATCTGCTGTGTAATGATGTCTTTTTTTTCATTTTCTTTAACTAGACGGTGGCATACACAACCAAGCACGCCCTGCCCAACGACAGCCAAGCCAGAGAGATTTTGATAAGACGCCACACCAGCATCCGCCGCAGCATTAGACCCGGCAGCTTTCAGTCGCAGGTAAGCAGGAAGCCAAACCTGTGGCTATTGACTCAATGAGCTACGTAATACAGTGTGTTATCAGCCTCTTAGTTGTAATATAAGGAAGAGCGAGCAGCTTTAAAACAAGTGAAGTATGTCTTATCGCTGCAGAGATAAAAGTGTGCCTTATTAAACATCAGGTTCATTTTCTTTATCCTATTCCTCATTCTGCTTTTTGTTTCTTGCCATTCTGCTGTTTTATTCCCATGTCTTCTTTCTCAGGAAAGTCCCAAATCCCACAAGTACTTCTCTCTTCCTGCTGGGAAAAGTCTGGATTCAAAATTCCCTCCTGGGAGGCTGAGCGTTACAGGTAAGCTTCTCAAAGTACTTTTAATTTAGCCTCAAGTGTTTCCATTAATGTCCCTTTTTAAAGTGGGAATAATCATCTTGAGTGAAAGTCTTTTTCAGAGGTTTTTCAGAAAAAGGAACGTGTCTATTTTTGTATCAGATCTTGATTTAAAGTGCAGGATATGAAGTTTACACTTCTTAAAAAAACACTTGTTGGCAGTGTTGTTCTTGTTATGGCAACAGGTCAAGACAAATGTCTGTCAACAAGATCATTTTTAATAACATTACGATCCCCTGACTTCTCATTTCGTGCCATCTTAAGGTCAACATTCCTATTTATTCCATAATGTAGTTTATGACTGAATACGTGTAGAACTCACACCATTACCATCAGCCTCAGCTGTACGGTTAGCATGCTAAGATTAGCATTTAGATCAAATATGCTGTCCTGTGCATGATTTTCAACCAATTTTCCCCCAAAACGTTTTGCAACATATTTACATAACTTCAAGATTTCTTATTAAGTTATTTATGTTTGAACTATGTAATAAAATGTTTGCTGGGTGACCCAGCAGCAAGTCAATGAGGTTTAAGGTGTAAAACTCTGTGACCATTTCTCATTCGTCAAGGGTTTTTTCATTTACATTAACACGCTTTTTAACTTTTTAATTGCATATAATTCTGTGGTGGCAAAATTCAATTCACTTCAGAATTTCTTTACAATTTTACTACTTTTTCTCCTATCCCAGACGATGAGGAGACCATGTCGGAGACGGCCTACCCCTCCAGGCGCTCTCGGTTTGGCCAGCCCTCGCACCCCTCCTCCAGAGGCAGGATACCTCTGCGCCGCCTGGACACGCTGACGGAGGCGCCCTCTGTCGACATGCTGGATGAAAATCAACGGCGCGGCACATCCAGAAAGACCTCCTCTTCTTCCTCCAGTGATTCCCGAATTCCCGCTCCTCGCCATCAGCTCCACTCCCCTGTGGACAACGACAGTGGCTCGGCTGATAACTTAAGGAACGGGCATCATGAGGAGGAGGAGGAGGAGGAGCCTTCACTTCCACCTCCATCCTGGGCAGTTGAACCCAGAGACAACGCCACGCAGAACCCTCTGCTCAGACGGCCGCAGTGGAACCCAAAGAAGTAGAAAGAGTCTCAAAGCAGCTGGACTGCCACAGACTGAGTCTCTCACGCAGCTCCAGGGTCTCTACATAAGACTTTGTATCAAAATAAATGAATACGGGAAGTCCAGTCATTTCTAACTTGAAGTGGACCATTTTTAAATAAGCCAAAATGAACAGTAGTTCCTCAAAGTGAGCCACATCAGAAGCCCAGTGCACTACAGTGAAGGTACAGTGTACAGTATGTACAGTGAGACACCATGTGATTTTAATACTAGGTCATTTCAACTATTTTAAGTAATTATTTCATTGTTGTAAATATGATACTTTTTTCTACTTTGTTGCCTATTGTGCGTGACAGCTGTATGATTGAAGTGTTTTTTATATGTTAGCTTATCATGAGGAACTATTGCTGTGCAGTACAGAGTTCTCCTGGATCTAACTGCAGGCCTTTTGTAAGTCTGTTACACTAATGGACCTCACCAGTCTGGGCCCATTTATTTCCTTTTACTGTAATAAATGATAATGTTGTTGAAAGCTGTTTGAGCATAATCAATCAGACCATGGATACACAGTGTGCCGGTACAGATTCAAAAAAAAAAAACAACAAAAAAACGTTAGAAACAAATCTTTCAAGTGAATTCACAATTAACCTTAATAATAAGTTAAACAAAATGCGAATTTGATTAGATAAAAATACGTTTATATGAAGGGGGTTGGTATATAAATAAGCCGGCGGGCATTGGGTTATCGTTACGCAAGCAATTTTTAGCAAAAATAGTACTACAATCTGCCCTGATGCATGTAAGTTAGTGGATAGGTTCTCTTTAATATTCCCTTTAGCTAGGTTACAGCATACTCAAAAACACCTTCAATCAGAAAACACACATTTCTGGCTGTCAATATAGATATTAGGTTTGCATTTAGTCAAATTAGGATTAAACTACCCCATGTGTTGAATTCTCTACCTCCTTAAAGCTCCTTTTAAAGATTGTGCTTTTGCTCTCATCAATTCCCAGTTGTGTGATTTGAACAATCAAATCAACGCAGGAGAATTTTGACATTCAGTTGTAATGACGAAATGTACCACAGAGGGACTGCCACAAAAGTAAATACGTTTGAAGTAAAAGCCATAAGAAGATTAGAAGTGTTAACAGTATGTGTGATAGAGTTCAACTCAACATCCAAACTGCAGCATTGATTTCAGTGTATCATATACGACTCGAGACTTGTGTACAAAGTGTTGTTTATTTGTTGTTTTGGGCCTGAATCTGAATAGTATTTCCTGGATTCACTGACAACTTTACACAAATTAAGACAATTTTCCTTCTTAGCCAGTGGTTGTTTTGTTAAAAAAAAACAGTGGTGATCAGTATACAGTTAAAATTTCACTTTAAAATGACTATCAATAATATCTTCAAATCTCATTTACCATCCTGAGATGGAACAAATAAAACAATGTGATTAGAAACTAGAAAAAACATTTGCTCCTATACCACTTTAATAACCGTTTTAAATGCAGTGCAATGTTGAGAAACACCTGGCATTGAGGTAAAGAGTGTATATTTATTGCCATCTTGGTTCGTGCTAACCTACAACAGTGTGATCTACCTCGGGGCAGGATGGCAGCCCAGTTTCAGCTACAGGTTCACCTTATTAAGGAATGTTAATGCATTACTGTCTGAATCTGAAGGGAGGGTCACCTTCGTCTTAAAGGGGACATGTTTTTGGCTTCACAATTGTATTTTTAGGATTCTACTTGAACACCGTTAATGTTCGTAACACTAAAGAAAGGCATTTTAATAATACATCCTAATATTTCAGTTATTTGAATTGCAGTGAATAATCAGCAACTTTACAGTAACTTCCGGGACTTTGGACAATATAGTGGTTTGAGAATTTAAAAACGAGTTGTTTAGTGTTATGTGCCGACACAATGCTTCTGTGCGATCAAACTTCAGCACAGGAGCAGATTTAACTTCTTGGTCCTGCGCTTGAGTTTTGAATCCGTCCTCCCTGAGAGAACGGCTGCAGTGCTGGTGCTGAGGAGCCATTTTGACCCTGTTGAGTCGCCATATCAACAGATATTGCCTTTGAGCAGGAAATAACGTCCCCACTATGAGTCTTCATCTTCACAGCTGGCCTCAAAATAAGAGCACTTCTCTGAGTGGTAGATTTGCACTCATTTCCATCATTTTTAAAGTCAGTTACTCAGCGTTTTGGTTCTTCTTCGTCCTCCCCCTGCCGTCCCATTTGGGGATCCTGACGAGCAGCAGACCTACAGCTGCCAGCGCTAACAGCACTCCCAGACTGGGGGGGCCACAGGGGCTGAACTCCTGAGCCAGACCTGAGAGGAGGGGGGCCAGGACCCGACCCACTGCTGTCACCGACTGCCCCGCCCCGATCAGAGTCCCGCTGGCCTGCACCCCCCCTCTCTGCAGCTCCAGGTCCGTGATGCACGTCCGTCCGATAGAGGTGGAGATGGCAAAGAAAGTGGAGCTGACCAGCACCTGCGCCACGCTGGGGGCCGCGGCGTAGAGGAAGATGAGCAAGCAGGTGAGGAGCGTGGAGTGCAGCAGCAGAGCGGCCATGTTGTTCCCATACAGCTGCGTGACGGGCCCCACCAGAAACCCAGCCAGGGCCCCCAGGGTGCTGCTGTAGCTGATCAGGTAGCCCGTCACCTTCGGTGTGAGGGAGAAACGCTCCTCCATGGCCAGGGAGAAGTTACTGTAGTACAGCATGATAGCTATAGCCATCAGAAGGCGCACCAGGAAGAGGTCCCACATGTCGGAGGAGGCCACCGTGTGAATCTTAGAGCCCACCGAGGACAGCTGTCTCCAGGCCGGCTGCAGCAGAGACACCTCCCTCCAGCGGGGAGCAGCTCTGGAGCCCGGCTCAGTCTCTGCTGGTGACACTGGGCGGTGACTAGTTGCATGAGAGCCATTGTGCACTGACTTCCTGCAGTTGCTGTCATGACAACCTATGCTTGTGTCATTGTTGGAGTTGTTGGAGTTGGTGTCTTTACGGTGAATTAGCGTCTCGCTCCATGGGAGCATCAATACAAGCCCTGGAATAAAAAATGCTCGATGTTAGATACATATTTTGGCGCCCCTTTCAGTAATGCATAATAAACATGCTTTTAATGCATTATAATCTGCTTATACCACTGTAGAGTGATAGGTATATATATTTTATAATGGCTTATAAGGTCAAGTATTATAACCTTTAATTATAGCTTTTGCAAGGATCATGTATCAATGTATTATAATAGGAAATACATACATTATAATATTTTTATAGTGCATATATGTGATTGTAAGTTAGTCTAAGAAGTCATTGTTTGCTTTAAATAAAGTAAAACATTTTTAATGAAATTGAAAAATGATGATACTTGGACATAAATATAGCCACTATAAAATAATTATAATATAAGGTGTTGTGGTTAGTGTTGTATGATAAAAAAGAAATATATTATCATACAACTGTGTATAATTATACAGTGCATTAAGCAGATTACAACCCCAATATGTAAATAAAAACATGGATGTAATAGAAAGTGTTTCATTATATTTCCGAAAATATACTGTATATAATACTATAAAACAATTGTTTCCTCTATAAAGCATACCATTCATCATTATTGTATGTGTTCATTCTCAGGACAGTGCTGCAGCTTACGAAGTGAAAGACGCATAAATGTTTATATATTTTAATGCACGCTGATTTCAGATGTCAGAGTTTTGTACCCACCTGCGTTAGCCAGGAAGATGACTGCACAGGTGAAGGAGGAGGTGTAGAATCCGCCCTCATGCTCCGTCAGATACCCCCCCACCACAGGGCCGAGGATGAAGCCCACGCTGGAGGCTGCGTTGAAGTGTCCCATCACCAGGGGGCGCTCTGCCTCAGAGACCAGGTCCGACAGCAGCGCTCTGCAGATGGACAGGGAGTGCTTGAACAGCCCTGAGAGGGAAGACAGGCACAGTGAGGCTAACACGCTGAACCTGCCATTAAAGGGTAGACGTGGTGGCTTTGTGCAGATGATGTGAATGAGAAAAATGTACTAATGGGTTGCTTTAAATGACTATATTTCACCCAAGAGTTAAGAAATAGAGGAACTGTCAGTAGCAGTTTGTTTTTTTGGTTTCAGTACAAAATGAGAAGTAAACCAAAGTAGGAATTACAGCTCTTCTATTCTGCTTTAGCTAAACTCTTAAACACCAATATTTTACAATAACTTCAAATAGCTGAACAGTTCGACACGTTTGTGGAGTTATGTCTAAAGAATAGATGTAATTGTCTACGATTTGCACCCTGACCCCTTGCACTTGGGATTCTCAGTGAAATCGTCTTCCAATCTTCCAAACATTATTTCTGATTTGAGACATCACATGCCGAATAATTCATAATAGGGAGGCTGTGGCTCAGTGGAGAGTGTGCTGGACTTCGTATCAGTGGGTAGCAAGTTCGAGTCCCACTGTAGTCAGCATGTCATTGTGTCCCTGGGCAAGACACTTCACCTCAAATTGCTCCTGGATGTATGTAAGTTGCTTTGGATAAAAGCGTCAAACAAATTACATGTAATGTAATGTAATAATATTATCAAATAAGATGTACTTTATTGATCCCAAATTGGGATATCTTTGTGTCAGACATGAAGGTTTATTCCCAAAATATCTAGGACATGGTGTTACATAAAGTGTGATTTTTTTAACTGAAATAATTGCTGGTTATTTCACTTTCTGTTTGTCCTTTTCTGAATGTTTATAGTGTGAATATGGCTTTACAGTACATGAGGGATCAAAGGTGGATTTTCTGTTTACAGACCATGTAACACATTGCACTGTGCACTATAGTTTGTACATTATTACTAGTAAATAATTTACAGTAAACTTTTCCCTACTATCGTCCTTAATGACTTTTGGTAAGGATATTAGATCATTTTAGGTCTAAAGACTATCAAACAACAATACATTTATTCCAATTGGCTAATTTCAGCATTTATAATTTTGTTGAATTGAACCATTATCAGCTTTAAAATAATAATTGGTGGCGCATTTAGCAACAAAGCATGATCAGTGAAGAAAATGTGTGACATAATGAGGTAAATATTCAGATTTTGATCTAATATTCAAATGATTTGGAAAGAAATGTGTCGATTCTGCACAAGGTTCCAAGGCAATATTTGATTAATATTTGAAAATATTGTTAAATACAGATCTATAGACATCAATAGACCCATTTCACAACAGACATGGTGACTTGGGAAAAGCAAAGGTGGTACTACTGACATTTATAATGAAAAGGTGAATGAAACTCAGCCATCATTGATTTCTTTTGCTGTGACTTTCCTACTGTGACATGTCAAAATGTTCTCAGTTCAGGACTCACCCACAGGGATCCGTGCCAGGACGAACAGAGCGATGCTGCTGGACATCCCCAGCAGACCATAACCCAGAGCGCTAAGCAGCAGGCAGGTCAGCAGGGAGTACCTCCGCCCCACCACATCACTCCAGCTACCCTGACAACCACACACAGCGAATAACACACAGAACTTAACACACACTTGTGGATCATTTGTACAGTCCTTTGAAATGCATGTGTTTGTGCATGTGTGTATTTCAACAGAATGAAAACTGAATTTGCCCTAGCGGAAATATCTTCTTGACGACAGAGCCCAACAAAAGAAGACAAACAGAAGTGTGTCTCTGTACACAAGTAGTTTACAAAGATGTTCAATAAAGAGAAAATCCCCCAAAGCTCACAAACTAGCAGCCAGCCTGTTAAGTCTTTACTTTTGCCTGATCACACACACACACACACACACACACACACACACACACACACACACACACACAACACACACACACACACACACACACACACACCATCTTCACTTTGGTTACACCACCCACTCACTTCGATGGTACCACACACACATTCACATGCACACACACACACATACACCACCCACTCATTCCGATGATATTGCAAATTGAATAAACAGAGTGCAGGTGGAGGGGATCGAGGTAGAGATGGAAACAGTGAGAGCTATGTGCACATATTGCTTTAAGGCAACTGCTCATTTGGAGTATTGCAACTGCCAAATCCCTAAACAAAACACACACAAACACACCCACACACACCCTCACACAGATCTGTTACTAAAAAACCGTAACTGAGCCCTATCCAACCATATGACCTTTGGGCCAAAAAAAAACAATACCTTCGCAAAAATCAAACAAAGCCAGTTCAAACCGTCAAGTTTAGGGGCAGAGAGAAAATGTCCAAAAATACAGATATATCACTTGAAGCAGATTTTTTTTAAGTAAAACATTTCAACCATATTCTATGCAATCTTTGGAGAAGGAGGGATATTCACACTTTCCATTATGACGCTGTACATATTAGTGTAATTAATAATGATATTGATACAACAATAAAAATGTGTACTTACAATATGTTCAAGTATATTCAATAAAACAAACCTAAAGCAAAAAAAGAAAATGCTTCCCAGAGGATTAATCGCACCACTTGTTTTCATATTCACTTTGATTTTGCGGTCACTTTAACTGTTTGGTTTTTTGTGAAAGGGGGCACATTTTTCTTAACCAGTAACCATAGCAAATTGAGTCAACATTGATGCAAAAGTAAGCCCATTCACTGGTTTTGTCACTGGAGTTTTAAGGGGGGCCAGACGTCCCTGAAAAAGCGAGCACTTGTTGCTTCAATCAGAACAGATCTTTGGAAAACATTTTTCTGGGGTTGCCAACAAACACCAGAAGACCAAATATTTGAAATGTTCATGGTGTGATTTATTTAATAGGATCCATTACATTTCAATGACTTGTGCAACCCTGGTTCTTACTTATAACAAAATAAAAGCACTGATTACATAACATTTCATTTAGCTGATGCTTTTATTCAAAGTGACTCACAATAAGTGCATTCAACGATGAAGAAACAGTCATGCCATTTCCTATCTATAAACCAAACCAGATTAAGTGCTACTGCATTAGCTTCACTTACAGCCAAATCCTTTGTAAGTGTTAAGATCTTTTTTTCTGGATGCACAATTACTGTGTGAGAATCGAACAGCTGCAGGTTCTGGTGTCTGCTGTGCTCTGAACTGAAACTGTCTGTCCAGTTTTGAAAGATGCCTCCCCCTCTGCCCTCTTGATGCCCTCATATACTCATCTCAGGCTGACTCTGGTGGAGCTGGTACGCTGCCAATGTGCCTTAATTATTTATAGTATACATTAAATATCCATGGAAAGCAAACATGCACACAAACGGTTTGATATACATAACAACACAGGGAACATTTCTCCACATCTTTCTCTGTCACCGGTTTGTCTTTCTTGTTTTCTATCTCTCCCTTTCTCATCGCTGTGGCAGCGACCTGGACTCATGTTACTGCTGAGGTCAGCAGCCATGTAGTGTACCTGTGGAATCTACCTGTAACAGCGGCTGAGCATTAAGTTACACTACAGGCTGCAGTTAGCACCTCACAGATCTTCTCATGCTGTGTGTTCATTCAGTTACTTACTCCCTTTCATGTCATGCATTATGAACACTTGCACACTGTGTACACTGTGTCAACTGCCTAAAGTCTCAAATCGCATTCAGCTGCTGTGCGCTCTCTGGAAGTGACAATTACTGCTGTTGGCTAGTTATCAAAAGGTATTGTTAATTGTACCAAATCAAAAATGCAGTTTGCTCAATTGAACCATTCAAATGAACAATGGACTTTTTTGGACACAAATATAGTAGTTTGTGCATAAAAAACAAATAAACACATGTTTACTCTAACTTTTATTTGTATATTTCAGTTACATAGCAACGATTGTTGAGTGTGAGACGTAACCATCTGGGTATGCATAATGCATTTTGACAGAGTTTGCATTTGGCTTCACCTATGCCCTCAAAAAAGCACACAAAAGTCTAGAAGTATGCAAATTGAGACACAGCATGAGCCAACAGGAGCTATCACAGTCAATGTAGTTGGACTGAGAAGGATTAATTTGGCTGCTGAACGATACAAGTTGACAGAGAAATTGTTCAATAACCTGCCTTAAAATGGCTTTTATGTTAATTCAGTTTCCCTGAACCTCTCCTACTGCCATCTATTTCTCTGTAATGTTGTGACCCGTTTTACCACCTATGCAAGTCTTTACATGTTCTCCAATAAACAGTCATTTTTCCAGGAACGAGCATGTACCTGCATGCACAGTCCACATGATTCTCTCCTTTACATTTTACGGCTTACCTGTACAGTATAATAACAGGGAAACGCATCCAGAGCTGTCGATATTCATTTTCTAGACTGTCAAATGAGGATTTGCTGATTTTAATATGACTGTAAAGTTTTACTAAATCTTCAAGGAATTGATTCACAAAGAACATAATGTCAGATTAGTCTATAATGAAAACAATCATTATTAGCAGCTCTAGTGATTTGATTCACCTACAGTATTGCTTTTAAATAGGATTAATAAGTATTCATACAATTAACTCATGCAGGCCAAATAATGATGTGTAATACTGGGATTTCAAATTGTACACTTTTATCACAAGTGTCATAAAGTATGATATCCGGTGAATGAACAAACAATCCTTAATTTCAACAACAAAGCTATACTTGTATGTAGCCACACACACACACACACACACACACACACACACACACACACACACACACACACACACACACACACACGATGAAATAATGAAATTAGGACCAATTGGGTTTGCTGAGTTCTGGGTGTAGCCTGGTGGGATTATCATAGAGACCCAGCTGTTCCCTACGTGCATCAGGATTTAACCGGTCTGCACGGGGGAACCAACAGATGACTCCTTATCCCTTTAATTTGTAGCATGACTGAGAATTAAAAACATTTTTCACGAGATGGGGGCGGCAGGCGAATGACATGGATAACGGAGAATCTTGAGTCAGATGCCATGATTATTTTAGAGAGAGCACTCTGCATATTTTGAGTAATTTTCTTAACTGCGTCAACAAGTTTTTAATCATCAAGGTTGAATCACTGATAAATGATCTCCATTGGTTTTAAGTCAGGCGTGTCGAATGGTAAAAATATGATTTTTTGTGAGAAAAAGAACAATAACATTGTGCATGTGGCTAACCAGGAGTAGCTTGTGTGTGAATGTGTAGAGACTGGGTGTATTTTGTTACCACAGCCTAAAACATTGCTTATTGTTTTCATTAAATACCAGGAATGACATGGAATGTGAGCATGCCTTGTCAAGCAGGATATTCCGGATGGAGACAGAGGATTTTTTTGGCAGAAAAAAGTGTATACTTACAACTATTGTGCTTGAGAAGAGCTGCAAGATCCCATATGTAGATCCTGCAGAAGATTTATATTTGATTTAAATCACATGAGTAATAGAAAGCACAGAGCAGACGCTATGTGTGTTCAGATTGTAACAATACCTACAGTATTACAACAGCACAATGGGATATTGTGGATTATTACATAGTACACACACTCACAGTAAACGGTACAGTAAGTCTTACATAAGTTAAGCTTGTACTCAACATTGCATTTAGGTGGCAACACATGTTCTATAAGCAATTCAACTACAAATTAATTTAGCATGTATCAGAAAGGGTACAAATTGTATATGAATCACAATAACCTAGGTCCTAGACACATTTCCAACCAACAGTCTAAAAGGATGGTGGACTGAGAGCTCAACCTATTCAAACTTAAAGGGGCCCTATGATGCTCATTTTCAGGTTCATATTTGTATTTAGTGTCTCTACTGTGACGTGTTTACATGCTTTAATGTTCAAAAAGCTCTTTATTTTCCTCATACTGTCTGTACTACAGCACCTCTTCTCACCCTCTGTCTGAAACCAGAGCCCAGTCTGCTCTGATTGGTTAGCTGGCCAGCTCTGTTGTGATTGGACAACTACTTAGAGATGTCCCACCCTTTAGCCTATCACGTACAATGTGTTGGAGCGCCGGCCAATAGAATTGCGAGTGTTACGCAGTGATGTGACTGTGGGGGAAACTTCTGTGTAGCAATGCAGGAGGAGTCACCGACACAAAGGAGACACAGGGAGAGCTGGAGCTTTGATGGCAAACACTGATGGGTTTATTTGGAGCTTCGGCCGGAGGATTCACAAAACAAGTCCAAGTGTCAGAGGTTCTGACTTCACGGTAGAGTTGCCACATCAATTCTGAAGAACTCTACCCCAGACCCGTGTATTTAGCTAGTTCAGAGAGAATAATCAACATGCTGCAGAACAAGATAGAATCATAACACCTCTATCAGCTGACGCCAACAGGCAGGAACAGGGAGACAAAACACTGAGAGCACAGCAGCCAAGGTTACCGGTGCGTGTGCTCAGTCAGGACAGTTTGAACTGACAAACTGGGTCAAAGTTATGGGCCTTGGAAAATATTTCCCCAACAATGTGACTATGTTACCGAAGAACACATAGGAGTCCAATGGAGGCCTCAAAAAGCCTAATAGGGCATGATTTTGGCACTTATATTTACTGTATGAAACATACAGTATACAGTATGTGGTGCATATTACAAATGTTTTGTGACCTCATGATAATAATTATCTGAATGTAAGACTCGATAAAACATTAGATTATCGGCCTCTGTGTTCTTGTTAATTCTAGCTAGCAGATAATGATTTGGTCATGAGACTTTTCAGAGCTTGTCAGCTTATTGAGCGGGACATGGAGTACATCTGCAGCTATGATGTAACTTAATAGATTACAACTCACCTACAACACCAGCCACAGTGGGACTTGCTCCAAGAGCTTTCACATGATGGCTGAGCAGCGGGATGATCATGCTCACCCCAAACAAATCCTAAAGAAAACAAGGAAATGAAGGAGAGAGATTAAAGTTATGTGCCCAGGTGTATCCAGCTGTTATAAACTTTAAATCACACAAGAAACCCTTTTGAACTCAAAAGAACCGAGAGTTGCAACAAAATCTGTTTTTCCGCATTGCTGAGATCAGTGCAGCTCTTGCCAAACTCTTGATTGGAGTCACACAGCAGTTCATACAGCGCTCTAACACCACTCATTACACTAATTGCTTAACTTGCAGAAGCATTACTGTCCCTAAGAGTTTCTGCGTGCCAAAAATCTGGGCATCTTTAAATCACGTTTAGCCAGATATGCAGGCTGAAAGGTAAAGTAATGTAATGCAAATGTCTGCAGATCAGCTTGAAAAACAACTTGGATTCTAACCATGTTTAGAGTTACACAGACTTTCTTGTTCATGATTACGAGTTGGGTTTCTCAATGTTCTTAAATGTAAGGAAGAAACAGTCAACTTTGAAGCACATTTTACAGACAGCGATGCTCAGAAGAGACAGCAGGTGTCGGCTTTGTTATTTTAAATCTCCCCAATTTAGTGGCTAGGGTTATATACAACATACACACTGTGTGTATTTGTATGTACAGATAGTATTAATAGCATTATTGTATTTCTAGTGGCCAGAAAGTATTGATGCATCTATTAAAAATAATTTCAAAAATGTGTGCTAATGACCCCTATACTAATCAATAAAATGATGATACCTACAGTATGTCCCTGCTTTCTACAGTACTTGTATTGTATTGTATATAGTAGCAAAATGAGTCTGCAGGTATCAAGGGTAACACACAACTACACAATGACTACATTTACATCTTTACAACCCATGCTTTAAAATGTAATTCCCTATTACACCTACGGATGACAGGTGAATGTTTTAAGGGGTTTGTGCAAGTATGCTGTTTAGGTTCAAGGGAATTTGAGCTATGCTATGACATCAACTTTTGCTGCTGACATGAAAAATTCCTGAGAAAATATGTTCATGTTTTGGCAAACCTTCATACCTTTAAATTCAACAGACTTTAAGCACTTTTAAGAGCTGCTTTGCAAACCCCAAAGTATAACATTTTCATTTTAAATCACAAGCAAACCCCTTGAGGGTGCCTTGGCCGTTTTTGCATGATCTGAACATGAAGCACATGTATTATCTCTGAATTGTTTTGTTTTATTACATCATACCTTTCGAGTTATGAAACCATGACATGACAGCTCACTCAGTACAGTCTCAGTTAGCTACTCACCATGAAGCCCACCACGTAGATGCATTGTATAATCCTCGTCCGTCCTCCTGGTTTCTGATATAAGGTGCTACATTTCTGGTTGTTCATCCTCCCGTAGTGACAGCACGGCTGCAGGAAAAGCGGAAGCGCTCATCCGCTCCACTGAAAACTCTCCAAACACACCGAGCACGGCTGCGTCCCGGTGGAGATATCATGTGCAGGGGTCAGCGCGAGACTTCTCCGTATCAACCGTCTGAAGAAATACGGTAGGTGTAAATATAAGGCGGATTCTAAAGAGATAAGACACGTCCTTTGGCGAATCTGACTGTTACTGAAGATTTCTCAGGTGTTGAACTGCCGTGTTGTCTACTCTGACCTATGAGATGAATCCCCCGCGGATAATAGGAGAGTTGGTATCGTCCGCTGACGTCACAATCCTGGATCGGGAAGTTGATTCATAAAATATATAGATAAGACTTACATTATCTTAAACCTTAACAAATCACAGAATAACTTAATTGTAACCGCATTTACAACAATTCAAGATACAAATCTGACCATATTGATATATTACATTGTCTAAAGACTTTTTAAGCAATGAAAATGTTTTGTGTCTACATTTTAAGCTACATGACACCAATATGAAAAGTTTTTTTTGTCGAATTGTAAACTTATTTTTTGGTTTGAAGATAACAAAAAGAGTAGACAATAAAATAAGAATCAAACACACAAGACTACATTAAACAGTTTAAGAAGTACATATAACACAGAATACACAGTGTATATCTAACAAATGTTAATTTCTAAATGTTTTATATATTCAAAACAATTCTTGTAAACATTTTTTGCAATGATAAACTGGACTATTTAACACTTTGTATATCTATTTAGTTTTGACCTGTAACATTTAGAAAGACTGAGATTTCAGTTACTTTTCCACCATCTGCTGGACAAATGAAGGCATCCAACATGTTAAAAACGGCACAAAAAACAAACACATAATTTAAGGGGGGTTTACAGTCACTTGAAGGCTGCCATATTCAAATATTCAAAGCCATGGACTATATTTCTGTTTTATAGCAAAGGAAATATTTCCCATCCTTTTAGGTTTTTTTTACTTGGCAATATTGGTCATGACTACAGAGCAGTGGATGTGGGAGGAGTTTTACTATCTGAGTGTGGCCTGGCTCACACCAGAGTGTAAATGTGTCTTTGTCTGCTATAAATGTAGGGTGACTGCTATATGTTCCCCACACATGCTGAAGTAGTGTTTCCTCTCAACTCACACTGGCGGTTACAAACCACAGCAACATAATTTACAACTTTTCTGTTTAAGGTTCAAACATCTATTGGTGGAAGATTAATTCAATAACATAAAATACACTTAATTGAATGTTTCTTTAATTCTCCTGCAAATATTTTCTTGAAAGTCAATGGCACTTTTTTTAAAATACTTTTTCTAAAAGTTTAATTTATAATGACAACAAAGAGATGCAACCAAAAGCAAACAAAGCCACACAAAAGAAGGTATGGGGTTATGTAATTCAAATAATATTTATAATATGCTATATACAGTATGTGGCATTAGCTTAATTTCAGTAAAGTAATAGTTACATGTGAGGATTTCTTTTGTTGTCATGATCATGAAGTACCTTTATAAACTGATATGCTAATTAACAGTTTAAATGTATTTTCTGTATATGGTCTAATATTTTTAGAAGATGTTGTTTTGGAAAAATGTGAATTATATTTCTATTACCAGTTTGAAAATACTGTTTCATTTGATATTTACTTATGTATTCTGGGGGTGTGGTACAGCTGAAAATACCTCAAGTGAGGATGCATTTACAGTAATTTTCATCCCCCTGTTTACAGGAAACGACATGTGTCTGTTTACATGAGCTTATAGCAGGGTGTTGTGGGATACTGAAACTCTTCTTCTGTCCTTTCAGTCTCTCCCTGCCCTCACATTCCCGTGCAAACGATGGGTGTCCAGTTGCCGCCGGTTATTTCTGCGCAGCTGATCCCCTCCCTTCACAATCTCCAACTGCTCCACACACTCAGTGGAGAGGAGTGTGGAGGAATCAGACCCCAAATATAGCCCAGGGTGTTGGTTGGGTGGGTGGGCTGACTGCAGACCCCAGCAGGGTCCAAAGGGAGTCATGTGCACAACCTTGTCCTCACATAACACAGACAGAGGGACAGGAGAGGATCCATAAACCCAGCTGGAGCACAGTGGATGTACTGGAAGGAGTGTGCTTGCTGTAGTTGGAGGGGAAAGTTGCAGGCCTATCTCGGACCATGAAGCTTAACGTGGCGTTGTTTTTTGCGGGGCTGTTCGGGGCGTTGGCAGCTGTGTTCACCCTCCTCTCGTTTGGGACAGATTACTGGCTGATGGCTTCCGAGAGCTGCCACCCAAACCCTGGAGATGTTGGTGGTGTGACAGTCGAGGTGGGTGTTCAGACAGCAGCACATCAGTCATCGTTTGTCATGTCTGAAATAATAGTTATCATGTGTTTTTAGGTTGAAAAACATTCATATTTGTAAGCCAAGGAAATATCCTTAAGACAGCTGCTCTAACAGGACAGGACAGTACATCTATTATATTCACTGGTGGAGGGGAGTAGTCAGATCTTTCATGCGGTAAAAGTACCATAATTGTTCAAATACTCCTTTACAGGTGAAAGGCCTATATTCTAATTCTTACTCAAATAAAAGTACAGAAGTAATACCAGTAACATGTACTTAAAATATCAAAAGTGAAAGTCAGCAGTAGCATTACATGGAAATACACATGTAAAGTACATGATAATTGTCTTTAAGTAAATTACTTAAGTACATTTCTTACTGTCTATTTTAAAGATCAGTTGCTTCAAACCTTCTCTCATTAGATGGGCTGCAGTGTGAAGAAGCATCCCCTCAGGACTTCTTCATGTAATCAGACACTGTTTAATAGTGTGTGTGCAGCTATGGAGTGATTGAGACTTGCTTGTGGCCCTATGATAGAGATACAAATACCAGTAGTCCCTGTGGCATGGAACTGTATTAAATATCACCGAGCAGAACATACTTAGCTTTTCATAGTGGGAAGTGAAACAGGAATGGAGACATGATATCACCACAATAACAGTGGTAGCCCGTAGTAAGTATAGTAATGCAATGTGAAATATATATATATTTTCAATTAAATCTATATCCTAACATGGCATAATAAGGTGTGGCAATAAGTGCAGGATTCACCATAACACATCTTTAATTTTTGAGCGGACCTTGTAGTTATCTTATCTTATCTTATCTGGATTGTCAGCATCCGATAGTATTTTCTAGTTTTCTCTCTCAATTCTTTTGCTGTTCACCCCTTGATGATTTTCCCTTGAATGATTTGCTCAAATATATTTTAAGGCATGAAAAGGCTAAAACTATTCACTAATTTAGAGGAAAAGGTAATTATTGTATGGTTGTCTTTAAACATTTGAATCCTTTTTTGAAAAATAAATATGTCTATGGTTTTTCTCAAATGTTATTTACTACTTTTGACACCTCAGGTTTATCTCACCACCCCTTTGAAGGGTTCCTGACCCCAATACTGTGCTTCTACAAGCTCTTTAAAGGCAGATTTAAAAATAAAACACACCTGTTTAGATTAACATAGTAAAACATGACAGTCCAACTTCATTACAGCTGCTCTCATTGCACTGAGAGGTGATTTATTGAGGACCGCACATGCGATTAAGGAGTTTTGGCTCACGTGCAAAAATAGGGACCACCAGAGATGAGGCCTTTGGTTTGCACGCTCGCTCGGCACCAACAAACCTACCGGAGGTTGAAGGCGCTCGCTCAGCTCATTCCTGACCTGACAGCTTCACACCTGCCACACATGATCAGGGACAGCTCTCAGGAGTACACATCCATCAATACGCTTACTCAAACTTTATTCTGCAGATTTAAGAATATATTAAAGGTCACCTATTATGCAAAATCTACTTGTTCATGTCTTCTATACATCAACATGTGTCCCCTCTGTGTAAAGAGATTCTGAAAGTTTCAGGAAAAAAGATTCTCTCTCTTTGTGTCCTGATCCATTTATATAAAAACCTGTCTGAAAATGAGCTGATCAGATTTTAGCCACTTTATGATGTCATAACGATTTTTTGGCTTGTGTCAGCACTTTTGAAACAGGGCTGAAACAGAGGGGATTATGGGATGCTGCAATGATCTGTTAGGTGTTTGGAGCCAAACACTTCAGAGACATGTTTTGTATATATCTGAGACCTATAATATATTGATGATAAGCAGTATAATAGGGGACCTTTAAGTAATAACTCATTCTTCTATCTCTTCAGCGTGGCGATGTGGTGGTGCAGGAAGGCGCTCCTGACGTCACTCTGTACCATGAAGGGTTTTTCTGGAAGTGTTCGTTTGGAGGCAGCGCTGGAGATGAAGACCTGATGTGGAAGCTCTGGTTCAGTAAGTCTCTCATGATGTTGCTTCCTTAGTTAATTAATCCTTTTAGTGTGTTGCCTTTGGTTTAACTTTCTAATCATTTCCACTGTTTAATAGCAAAGACGTCGCACAGTCATTCATTTCACTCTTTTAAACAGTTTGTTTTGTTTCTTCTGACCGAATTAAAATCCAATAGGAAGGAATCTATACAGTTGAAGCAAGGCATTTTGATTTAGAGAGCAACATTGTGACACATGAAGACTCAAAGCCTTGTAAATATAACTTGTATGATGTTAACAAAACATTGAATTTGCTTTTAAAAGACATAGAAAAGGTGGAGCAGTTAACAAATAGAAAGACACTTCAAATTCAAAATGAAAAAGCAGCATTCTTTTAAAAACAAGTTAAATAAGTTATTACAAAGAAGCATTAAACAGTAATTTAATCCATGATTTAAATTGTTGTTCTTTTGAAGTATTGAAGAAGTTAGTACATAACACATAAAGCAGATTAGGGTGATTACCATAGATCGTTATTATTGCATCATAAAGAAAACAATTATTATTATTATTATTCATAACCATTCATTTTCCTATGACTGGTGCTTTTCCCCGCCTTTCGAAGTCATTGAGTTCAGGAACCCAGTCTCTTCCAGAGTCACATGGCAGCACGATGACTCAGAATACATTTCATTTCTCCATTTGCTGCTAATCCGTCAATAAAACTTGAATGAGGCTTTAATGGTCGAAACTCCCTCGTGTGTTTAGACGCTGTGCCATGTGATGTTATTCTGGCTGTTTGTCAGGTGATACTTCGTCGTCTATTTCAGATTCTCTTGCTTTGAATGGTGGCTCATTGTCAGAAACGACCTCTGGCACTGAGCGGATTTCACATGGTGGAAGGAAAGAGAGAAGAG